GAAGTAGATACAACAAGCAGATGATCTTACTTAATAGCAGCGTCTGCCCAAGACATCAGACTAAAACTCCTGTTTAATCTCTGCTTTGTTTTTCACCTACTTGCTTATAATCATTCTTCTTATTTTATAGATCTCTGGTTGTTGTACAGCCATACTGACCCTTTTCTCCTTCCTACTTATGATAAAAATTAAGTCAGAATATAATCATTTCAATGCTACCCTCAAATTATTCCAAATATTAGTCACTGCCAATTTACCAGTTATTGGATATATCCTCCATCACCAGATTCCAATCATCAAAATCTGTGGATAATGCTGGTTTTATCAGATGGAACACTGGAGAATTACAGTCAAATATTTATGTTATTATATAATTATCATAAAAAGTGGAATGATCCACTTGTACCTATATGGACAAATAACCTAAAAAATCAAACTATGATTTTACTAGTGTTTCTCTCTCTAATAAAAATAAAATAATCATTTTACAATCTATTGGTCAAAGCATAGGTAGTTCTAATATGATTTCAAAAAACCTCCACAGGACAATGAGCCAATCATTTTCATCAAAAATAGATTAATAAAGATTTCAGAATATGACCTAGCTAATGCAAAGTTGCAGTCCTGGCCTTATGAACAAAAAGTTATTTTCTTGGATCTCCTTGGAACTATCAGATAATACTCTCTCCCAGGCTGCATGTTCCTATCTGCCCCTCAGACATGTGAGGATAATTGTTATCTAAAATAAAAAGTTAACTAGTGCCTGTGAGGATGTAGGAAAAAAACCATGAAACTCTTATACTCGGTTGCTAGGAATATATAATACAGCAGCCACTATGAGAAAACAATATAGAAATTTCTAAAATAATTAAATATCATGTAATACACAAATACCATTGTAGATGTTAATCCAAAAGAATAGAAATAAAGATCTCCAAGTGATATTCATATTTCCATGCCTATTTCAGTGCTATTCACAATAATCAAAATGTCAAAACAACCTAGATATTCATCAATGGATGAATGAATAAAGCTAATATAGCATAAACATATAATGGGGATATAGTGGGGTACTATCTTATTTTCAAAAACAAGGAAATTCTGCAAATGTGATAACATGGATGAACCATTAGAAAATTATGCTGATTTAAGAAATAAGAAATAAGCCAGTCATTGAAAGATGGATACTGCATAATTTCATTTATATGAGGTCTGTAAGAATATCAAATTTATAGGATCAGAGTAGAATGCTGGGCACCACAGGCTGCAAGGAGGAGGAAATGAGTGACTAATAATAGACATAGAGATTTAGTCAGGAAGTGTCCACAAAACACAGCAAAACAGTTAACAGTTGTCTGCAAGAAAAAAAAGAAAGAAAGAAAGAAAAGAAAAACTCAAAATACAGTAAGCTAGAAATCTGCTATAAAACATTGTATCTAGTCAACAATGATGTACTGCACATTTAAAAAGCAAAAAGTAAACCTTATCATAAGTTATCTCCACAATAAAATTTTTTAAATGGCATAACCCAAAATATTTTAATTTTGGAATTACTACTTTTCCAATTTTACTTTAGAATGGTTTTAGATTCAAGAAACAATCATGAAGATAATACAGCCTTCTCATATATCAAAACCCAATTTCCCCTATCATTAATATTTAACATAAGTGCAGGGCATTCATTGAAATTAGTGAACCAAAATTGATATATTATTATTGTTGTCCAAAATTTAATTCAGATGTGCTTAGCTTTTCCCTAATTTCTTTTTACTACCACAGCTATGTGGTATTGCCACAGTCTCCAACCTGAAGGCACCTGAAACCTTGATGAAATTCCCCTCCCACTTTGTCATGTGAAAATAAAAATTCTTATGTGAGAAATCCAAAATATAAATAATTTAAAGTGAAAAAAATAAAGACAATGGCAAACAGGGAGTTAGAAATTGTGCAAATAGAAAGGAGATCTGGGCATAAGAGGAGATGGGAGGGTGGAGAGAGGAAAGGGAAGTAAAAATGATTAAGATGTGATATATATATATGTACCAGTTCCCCAAGATAAATGTAATTATTACGCATTGCAGACATATACAATACTAAGAAAAAAATTAAAAATAAGATAAAAATTAATCTGGCCATTTTTAAACTTGCACATGGAAAATTTTCAACTTGAAATTAAAATGCCATCACACATCCAGCTAAAAGATTTCTAGCTCTAAGGTGGTGAAGTCCTGGGCTGTACTAGCAGTCAGTCTCTGAAGTGACGGCCCCAGGTGGGCTTCTTTAGTCTGCCCTCAGCCACATGCACAAAGCCTCCCTGCAACTGCTGGACCTGTCAATCCCACCACCCCGTGCTCTACAGTTCCTTAGCTCATTAAATGCATGTTTCTGAGTAGACAATGGTGAAGATTCTCTGTCCAAACACATCCCCATTATGGGTAGTATTAGTAATAACAACCCCAGCTCATGCCAAGCATATTCAGGACACAAAATAGAACACAGAATTGTGCTCAGGACCTGCCCAGTGGAATCAATATCAGAATTTAAATGGGAGGGCCAGAACATGAAGACAAAATGAGAATGCTTTCTGCAGGGAAGAAAGAAGCACTCTTTGGTGGGGCTGAGGTTTCTGGGAATTCTGTCAGATTGAGTCATTCTTGTCTTGCAAATAGTTTCTATGAGTTTCCTTTAAATTTGTGCAAATAGAATGAAGCTAAGAAGCACTACCAGAAATATAACACCATTCAGGCTTGCGTTTATTTTCCTCACCTTAATTTCAACAATAACAAGAGTAAAAAGATATCACCCAAAGTCATGGCAGATGCACTAAGAATTTCTTATGCAGATTGCAACCCAATTACACATCTCAGCGTTCACTCTAACCCTCTCCCCACTCACTCTACTTCCCTCAGTGTTATCTTTTCAGCTCTCAACCTCCTTGGTTTTGAAAACTGGAGGACAATTTTGAGAGCAGAAGAATGCTGTCATATTCTACTACCTAGAGGTAATTAATGTCATCTGGGAATTGCTCTCTACAGGAGTCTATGACACCATAACCAGAGTTTGGGAAAGAGCACAGTATGAAAGTGTGAATCTGAATTTCCCCAGGCTTCCTCTAAAGCTGCCTCCCCCTTAGAATCCAGAGAGCCCTGGTGAGCTCTGTCTCCATCCAAGCTCTATTGACTGTCTCAACCTCTACCTAGCTGTTCAGTGAAGCTGTTTCACTTTAATAGATAAGTCTAAAGACACACAAAACAATAAGAATATCTTAATCATAAAAAAGTATTTGATGAGTTTTAGAAAAATCACAACAATTTCAATGTCATTACAATCTACTGTAAAACCTACACGATGCTAAAAAAAAAAAAAACCTTTGGTGAACAAAATAATGACTTTTATACTAAACAAATGTGGTGGAATTGACATTTCCACACATTATTGTCCTGTATCATGGAAGAAACTCCGGAGAATTTATTATTTGAGGTTTGTGTACTTCAACTGTAGTCCAGCTGAACTTTATTTTTACATTTGATCACAGACTTTAAAATTCTTCCTGACTGTTTAGGCTCCCAAGAATCAATATGGCTTTATGTCGGAGAAGGGACATGGACTCCATTAATAGAAAATGAGATTCCTGGAATATTTGAAAACAAAAACAGCTAGTGAACCACAGTGCCTTAAGAAGTTCTATAAAAATAGCTATATGACTTAAGGCAAATCATTCCACCCCACTTCAGTCCCACTCCTTCCATTTATCCGTTTTCCATTGCACTTTCCATTTAAAATGGGACTAAGATTTCCTTACCTTTAACTGACAAATTGGCTGTGAAAATTGAATAGTCATGTGCATGAAGGAATTGTGCCTAGTGGAAACAGCCCTGCCACTGTGATCCAACATTATTAATAAAGTCTATTTATTTATCATAGGGTTATACTTTAAATTCTTTCTCCTCAACATTTTTACTAGCTATCCTAATTCTACTCATATCTCTGCCATTCTTCCCAGTAGTTAAGTATTTTAAACTATGTATGTTCTTTAGATCTGAAAGCAATAATAAACTGCATGCATATTCAAGGCTTTTTTTGTTCTTGTATTTTATTTTCTACCTTTATGCTTTCATTACCTCTGTACTTCCTAACTTAATGACCACAGCAGTGCAGCCTCCTTTAATTGCCTCCCTGCATAGACATTCTAAAATGTATTGTGTCTTTTGCCTTGGAAGTCATTTTTTTTACCAAATCTAAATATTTAATTTGATTTTGCTGAAGCCATGATATACTGTGCTCCTCAAGCCTATCATGAGTAGCCTTGCCCTCCACAGCTTCTCTGAAGGTCGCAGTTGTGAGCTGAGGGCAGGTGCAATTGTGGAGAGGGGTGAAAGGCCACATGGGGAGTGGGCAGCCTGTGAAGAGGGTGAACAGAGACAGATTAGAACTGAAATTCCTGGTCTCTCTTTTGCAAGGAGTTCTCCCTCCCCTCATTACTCTTTACCCCTATTCTTGGGCTTTTAAGGGAATATTTATTTAGAAAGTGTAAGTGAAGGCTGTAGTAGTTAATTGGAAATAGAAAGGCCCACAATCATATGTTTATCCCATTAGTGAAGTATATCATAATGGCAAATGTTCTTTTAAAAAATATTTATGTTTTCAGTGTTCAAACACATAGGTAAATATGTGGACAAGAGTAAACTGCACACATGCCAAAACTTTTGAGGCCACCGCCAAGATTAACCTGTTACAGAAGGGGGTGAGGTGAAGACCCAGTGTGATCTGTCCCCCTCCTCCAGTCTTCCTCCTGGACTTCTGCATCTCAAGCTCTAGTCATCTGAGCATGTTTCTGGCAGGCTAATGACACCTAAACATTGCAGTTCTGATACAATGGTTATATTTCTATTCACACAGCAACAAAGAAATTTTGAAAATTAGCTGTGGAAAGACTCATTTTTTTCAGTGTAAGGTTTTTTATAAAGTGCTTTTTTGCAAATTTATTTGGATGATTGTTTTATTTCTATCTTTTGGACCTTCTTCAAAAATATTTCAGGTGGTTTCTTCTGGAATTGTCTTACTGGGTTAATTTGGGCTTCTTGATAGGTGAGATCTGATCTCTCACTGAAGGTCTTTGAGCATAATTGTGGATATAAACACCCAAATATTTATTAGAAAAAGAAAATGCGGAAATCAAATTACTTGTTTGGGGAGGTCAGCAAAATGTTCATGGAGTAGCTTATATTCCAGGCATCCTTAAATGAATTGGATCTGAACAGATTGGAGAAAGCCATTTCCAGACAGAAGGAACAGCACAGTCAAAGGTGCAGAAGTGACCACATGAGGTGTGTCCTAGGAACACCTGATAGTCTAGTCAGGGGTGGGGAGATATAAAGTTCATTCAGAGAAACAGATTAAACTGCCAGTGTCAGGTGAGTTCAGATGGCCAGCAGGCTAGTAACCATGGTACACAACTAGGTAAGCAATAAATGCAAACTGAAGCTTGTTGGCCAGGGGAGAGATCTGATCATAACTGCTCTTTCTACAAAGAATAATTCTGAGGTGTCAAATAGAGCTCAGTGGAGAGAGACAGATGAGATTTTAGAAGGTTTGACAAAGTAGGAGCAGTGGGAATTATAAGGAAAATGTATCATTCAGTGCTTACCAGAGAAAGAGATTTAATGTAAAATATATAAGGATTTACAAAGTAGGCTTTCAGCGGCTGCCTGAAGGTTCAAGTGTAAAAGGGTGCCAAAGGGCTGTCTGTGCACTGGAGATGTGAAGGGTCCAGTCAAAGGGTGGGGCAAAGGTCGAAGGCCTGGAGCTCACTGTAGTGTCCATCGGAGTCCCTATCATGATGCAAAGTGTCTGTGCCAGAAGGCCGAAGAGTCTGAAGCAAGGAGATGATGTCCAAGGTGAAGGTGAAGACTGGAGCTCCTCTGAAGAAACAAAAGCAAACTTTCCTTCTTCATTTCCCTTTATACCATCAGACAGCAAACCCATTGGTTTTTGTCACTCATCCCCAGAAAATCCCAGCAAATTTTCATTGAATCGCCTCAGCCACACCCAGAACAATGCCGATCCAATTTAGTTGGGCATTTGTTACTCAAGTTGGTACAATCAGTTAACTATCACAGAAAGGACAAAAAAAGTAATGTAGATGTCAAACCCACAGGATTTAGGAATTTAATGATTATGAAAGTCTAGGAGAAAACACAATAAGGACTACAATGGTGAGGACTGGGATAGCAAAAGAGAATGTGTTTTATTAACTGTAAAGTTTGATAGAAATGAACAGACACTAGTGGACTTAACAAGAAATCAGAAAGTGTGTCTTTTTATGGAGAAGGTTACATACATCAGCATCGGGTATTAGAAGAACACCATGGGGTGATATCCTTCAGGCAAATTATTTAGAGCAAGAGTTGGCAACCTTATCCTATAAATGGCCAGGCAGTAGATATTTTTGGTTTTGTTAACCCTACAGCCTTCTCTCATAACTACTGAATGCTTTTGTAGTGTGAAAGCAGCAATAATGCTGCAGATTTGGCTATGTTCCAATAAAAGCTTATCTGCAAACACAAACAGGGAGCCAAATTTGACCTAAGGGTCATAGTTTGCCAACTCTTGCTTTAGATAAGAGAATCACATCTCAGAATTTTAAAATAAATAAATAAAATCATACCACATAACAGAATTTAAAAAAAAGAATTTCTAAAAGAATGAAGGGATTTAGATTATACTGCAGAAAGGTGAAGAATAAGGACTGAAAAGAGACTGTCACATCTGATCCTCAGTCATTCTCTGCAGAGCGCTTCCCACAGTGTGAAAGAAGCAGACGCCGGCTGCCTATGAGTGAAGTTCTGGGATACAGCCAAGCAGGGTGCATATCACTGAGACTTGTCTTATGAGAACCATGGTGGGGGCAAAGTAATAGGAAGTAGCATCAGTGGAGCAGAAAGGGGTTAAGTGACATCTTTGAGGGTGAGAGTGATTATAGCACATTTGTGGAGCTCAGAGAAAGAATGGGAAATGGAAGTGAAAAGATACAGACAAAAAGCTCTACAAATATTTACATAAAAATGGAAGTTTTTCATCAGACAGAAGAATAGTGGGGGACATCAACAAAAGATAAAACCCTTAGATGCCTAATTCCCTAGGGCAGTATTACGAGATGCAGGGTAGGAAAACTGTGCTCAACTAATGCAATAGAGAAAAAAGCTAAGGCCAGGTATTGAAACTTAACTAGCTCAGTACTATTTCCAGGTCTATCCCTTAGGCAAGGTCACTGCCCTTCTCTAAACCTAAGATTCCTCATTTGCAAATGAGGATATTAATCATACCCACTGTACAAAATTGTAAGAATCCTATGACTTTCAGCATAGTGCAAATATAAAGAATCTAACATATAATTAATTTTTTTTTTTGGTACTGGGGATCAAACTTGGGACCTTGAGCCTGCAAGGCAATAGGCAGAACCACTGAACTGAATCCCTGGCCCCAGAAAATATAATTTTAAAAGACACTTTGGGAAATTCCATGGTCTTTCAATACAGTAATCTTAGGCTAATGAGATCAAAATTCACCCCAGTTTTCAATGTCATTGTAGTTTAATTCTAGAGCAACTTTATTTCGAGCTTTGTTTAAAATTTTGCCATATTTGCAGAATGCTGATGTTCTTTTTACTGGTACTACTGAGAAAGTACTTTGAAGGTAATGGAAAAATATTGAACATCTGGCAAATGTTGAGTCTTATTTCCTGAGCTATGATTTCCTTGTCCTTGGTAAGAATGAAGAGCCATGTAGAAAATTTATCATTTTTGTGGTGCCATCTTCTCAGCTGGATTCCAAACTTAAACATCTGATTATTTCACCTAGAAATTAAATTCAAAGTCATGTTATGATCTAAATGATCATTGATCCCATGCTAGTCAGCCTTACTGTCAATACTCCTGGCATGATGCTGTGTATGGCTGTTTGTGTGAGACAGGATCATGCACATATGATAACCATTAACTCTCAAGTAAACAGTTACGGACTCGTGCAGCTACTAGCACTTCATTTGTAACTTCTCAATTTAAATCCTGCATAAATGGAGAAAAGATAATTTGCCATCTTGATCATCTCTCCAATAGATTCCCCAGTAACAGATCTACAGTTTTACTCTTTCCAGTTTGCATCAGATAAAAGAGTGATCATTTTTACAGTCAAATAAATACTTAACAGATATTTCTGTTGAATAAAGTAATACTTATTTCATTTCCATCACAGTCTGGTAGATTGAGAAGAAATTTGTATTCTAAATGTACTACAGTGTTTTTCATGTTCTAATATTTTTCTGCCTGTTACAACTTACATCTTAGACAGAATGTTAAGCCAAAGAATTAAAACTATGGCTGTTTCAGAAATGTGTATTCCTGACTCCCAGGCTCCCATTCTGTAATTTCTAGGATTGGGAAGCAACCTTGTTAGAGTGATCTTAGAAAAATTCCCCAAGAGCAGTTACTATTTAAGGCTAGAAAACACCTCAAATCAGCCTTGTGAATAGGCACAGACCAGGACAAGGAGCAACACATGAGGTGTGATCAAAACATACGTTGAATGTTTCAATTTTTTAAAAATGATTATAGCGAAATGCTGTAATGCCACTAATCTCCCCTAGTTTGAACAGACTTATTCCACTGTTCTTGCCACTTTCTGAAGCAGGTTTGGAAGTGCTTTTTAGTGAGTGACTTCAGTTATGTTGTTGTACTGCCTTGATGTCCTAAATGGATTCAAAACTTTTACTTTTTGTGGTCATTTTGACTTGGGGAAAAGCCTGAAATCATATTGTACCAGATGCAGTGAATAAGGTGGATGAGGACACACTGTGATGCTTTTGACGGAAATCACAGTAAACAATGGATCAATGAGGTGTGATCAAACAATAACATGAATTTTTAAATTAAAACTATTAGAGTAAAAAGCACATTGTCACTAACCCCTTTGAAATACCAAAAATACACCTTCTGTTTGAACATACTAATCCCACTGTTTTTGGCAATGTGTCTTTTACTGTAATAAGTTCCTTTCTTATATTTATACATTCACTGGATATTTTGATCACACCAGCATCTCATTCATCATCTAAAGTCAAAGGATGTTGGGAGAAAAAAATAAAATTACTGGCCATTTCTTTAACAACCACCTGCTGATCTGCCCTACTGGGAAAGTTAAAAATGGTCATACTTGTTGACATATTTCTATATTTTTCCAGTCCTTATTGTTTTTGGTATCCTTAGTAACAAATGATGGGCAGAGTGACTTGGTGATTTAGATTCCTAGTGCCTTTTTTGATGCCTATCATTGACAGGTAGCCCAGTTGACAAAAGCTATCCCCAACCTGGGAAATTTTCTGGCATTTAGATTCTATCCTTAGAGCCATATTTGCTGAATATAAGATGAGAGACAGTATAAATGCACTATCATACAATTTTATTTAGACTCTGTAATCACATTATTTACACAAAAGATGTGCCTTCAGAGCCTAAGAAATTTTCACACTTAGTTCCCTATATTTATATAACCCAATTCCACCATTGTGCAGGAAGAATAGTCAAATATTAAAGAATGATTTTGGAGAAAGGCACTTTAACCAGTCAGAATGGATGCAGGCTTTAATGAGAGAACAAATAATTGGACTACTGTTAGGTAAAATTTTAGGCCTTCAGTTACCAGCTTATGAGGAAGTTCAGTGGTACTCCAAGGAAGAGCCAGACAGAAGCTCAAGGAAGTATCTTTGTTCTACCAGAAACAGAGACATTATAATAAATGAGACTTGTTCTGGAACACCAGATCTCCTGGTGATCTCATCTATTTTCCATTACACAGACCTTGACCAACACCTTATCAAAACATCATCTATTCCTAAGGGAGAATTATTTACAACACATAGTAACCCAAGTCTAATTACTGTTTATTTGTATGTGGATTTTCTCATTATAATGCTGACCTAACAAAAAATCCCATCAAGCTCGGTTTCTATCACATCCATGTAGATGAATCAGTTCTACTGTACTTTGGCTCATTTCTATCTTATTATTGTATAATTGCATACAGCCCAAGGTTACCTAATTATCACACCTATGGCATTCCATTAATAGAAAATTTTCCAATTTTATTTCCTCTAATTTTAATAATGTCCTTTCTTCCATTATTTTAGATTCATTTTCTGATTAATATTGGACAAAAAGAAACCTACTGTGAATTACCTGGCAAAGTAGGTAGGCAAGAAAACTCTCTTGATATCTTGATATCTGCAGCATCAGTATTTGAAAGAGACATACACTGTAAGCATACAATTAAAAAGTATAAGCTTCAAACAATAAAACATACAAATATATGTATTTGTGCATACAGATGGATATAGATACAAATTCAGATTACACTCAGTACTAGTTGCTTTAATATTTTGAACCCCTAATTAAATTATCTTTCTGTATTGAGAGAACAAAAAGATGGCCTCAGAAAACTTTTACTCACACTTTGTAACATTTCTAGGCACATACTCCAGCCAACTAAGAGAAAAATTAGAAGAATTTATGTAAATTCTAGTTTCTATACTTCTTAGCTGGCAAATCTCATTCATGGCCACTACACTATTCCTCAGCTATTATCACTGTCAGACCTTTCCAGTCACAAGACAAGTGTTCTCTGAAGTCTGTGTGTATAAGATGATTTTCTGAGTTTAGATGGCTACACACTGTGGGTGTCTGTCTCACTATTTCAATTCCTCATCCTCACTCTCTTCTAAAGCCATATGTCCTCTGCTTTTTGCTAGGCTAGTTGGCTGCCCCTCCCACCATGGGCTGAATATACTCTCCTACCTCTTTGAGGTTGGTCATATGACTCATTTTAAGCAGTGAAGTATTAGTTCACATGCCATGAGATGAATATAGCTTGCCTTGTGTGCTCTTGGTCATCTGTAATCACTGTGTGACCATATCTCAGGTCACTGTTGGTCCTACCATTATGTTAGAAAAGAGAAGTAAACTGAACCTAGTGCATGGCTGAGTATCAAGCCAAGCTAACACACATTAAATCTTCTTAAGCAAACAATTATGAGTTTTGTTCTAGACATATATATATATTACTAAAATGAATGTAAAAGTCACACAAATCAAATATATTATTTTAAAATTTGAAAGTTTCAAATATTTGTTTTATTTCCTTTTTATAATCATTCAGATCAATTTTCCTCAGTAAAATGAGTAGAAGCTATTTTTAAAAAGATAATGATGTTCTGTTATGAAAGTATTTGAATGAAAATTAAAATCCATTAAACATGAAATTAAGACTAAATATTTGCTATTAAATTTGTTACATAAGCAGATGAAGTTTTTCTTTATAGTCTGTGATATCATACTACATGCTGCATTAGTCCTCATCACAAAAACCAAAATACAAACAAAATATGTAAAAGAAACAAAAAAATAGTTTCTCAAACATTGAACATCCTTTATTACAGGACTATGATTGCTAACAGAAGGAAAAGTAACAAGTTGAGCTTTCTGCCCAAAACCATGTGATATTCATCATGTATGAAAAGCGAAGAATACAGCACTCTGCTTAGATAAGCAAACAGAGCAGAAGTTTGGAGGCTAGAGGTGGCTGTAATTTGTAAAGCAACATGTCAGAAAAGAGAACAATGCAAGAGAAAAGCTAAAATATGTACATTGAACTCCCTTCACAACTTTTATCAAATTCTAACAAATAGTACAGACATGAGGTAACAAAAGCAAGACCCAGCAGAGATCCACCACCAAGGAAAGAACTGGAAAGAAGTTGTAGGTTGAATTATTTTCAGAGTTTTCATAGGTTTGGAGACATTCAAATTCTTACCAATCAAAATGAAGGGCCTCATTAAATATCCAGGTCATTAAGCAGAGATCCCAGGACAGGAACACCAAAAGTAGAAGTATACTAGCTCCACACTAATGTCAGTCCTTTACTTTTTTCTTTACCCACTCTCAGCTTAAAAACAAGTGATGAGGAAAAAAAGTAAACTATGTGTAAACTAAAACAAAACTATATTTTTTTAAAGGAAGAAATAAAAACCCAACATACAACAAGCTAACATTTACAATGTCCAACAATTACCAAAACCAAAATAAATAAACTGGTGAAAGAGCAGAAAAATATAATCATAACCATGTGAAAATTTAGGCAACTGAAACAAAATCAAAATTATAAAATTAACATATATATCATAAATTAATAGCAATTTTAAAAGACTAATGAAGTATTATAAATATGTTCAAAACTATTAGGAAAAATATGAAAATGAAGAAAATCCTAAAACAGCTAAGATTCCTGAGCATCTTAAATAGAATTTTCACTGATAGATGTACTAACAAATAAACATTGCAGAAGTAAGACAGATTAACTTGAAAACAGTGGAAAAGAAACTATGAAAACTGAAGGACACATGTTAAAAAGTTATAGGAAAAAACACATATAGTCTCAGCGATATGTGAGACAATGTTAATAAGTCTAACAGATGTATAATTGGAGGCCAAAAGAAAATGACAGGAAATTTATCATTGTAAGTGCATACATTAGAAGTTTTTTTAAAAAGAAGATTAATTTAATTATTTAAGATTCCCCCTTAAAAGACTAGAAGAGAAAATTAAAACCAAATTACACAGTAAGGAATGGTAATGATGGTAGCATTGTATGGTTTACATAAGTGTTGCCCAAAGACCCATGCATTAAAGTTTTGGTCAACAGCCAATAGTGCTATTGGTAGGTGGTGGCCTAGGCTAAGGAACTTAGGTCATTAGTGGGGTGCCATTGAAGAGAGTAGTGGGACATGTGCCTTCTATTTCCTGTCTCCTGCTCTTTCTCTCCTTTCTGCTTCCTGGCCACCATAAGGTTAGCATCTCCCTCTGGCATGCTCTCCTGTCATGATGTGCTAGCCACAAAGTGACAAACCAACCGATTGTGGACTGAAAACTCCAAAACTTTAAGCCAAAATAAACCCCTTCTCCTTATACGTTTATTTATCCCAGGTATTTGTCACAATAATAGAAAGCTTACTAACACAGAATAAAAAGCAAGGGAAAAAAAGCACATAAAAAATAAGAAAGAAAATCAGTAAGGACAAAAATAGCTTTTTTGAAAAAAAATAAAAATAATGAATCATTAGCTTAACATTGAAAAATCACAAATTAAATGGGAGAGGAATCAATATGACCTTAATACTAAATACATAAATCGCTAATTTTTATGGCAAATATATTTGAAAAATAGACCAATGCAATTCACTACAAACAGAATATACAAAATAAATACTTCTCAACAGATACAGAAAATCCATTTGTCATAGTCAAATTATTGAATCATTAATAATAAAGTGAAAGAAATCTAGAAATTAAAGAAAGCAGAACATTTTTAAAAATTTAATCAACAGCATCAAAGAGCAATTATAAAGATCTACAGATAATGTGAAACTTAATGGTAAAACAATGAACAGTTTTCTGTCAAAATCTAAATGAAGCATTAATGCAAACTCTCACTCTTCCAAGCTAATATTCTTCTTAAGTTTCTATCCATGCAATAAAGCAAGAAACATGAATAAAACACATGCTACCTGAAAAGAAATAAATAAGGCTAACTTGATTTTCTGTAAGCAAGGTTGTATACATAGATAAACACTAAAGAATTTATAAAAGAACAAAACAAAAAACACAGCCAATAAATCTTAGTTAATTTATCAAGGTCACAGTAAATGAGGTTACTACATTAAAATCAATCCTAATTCTCCATACTAGAATTCAAAAAATTTAGAAAATAAAATATAAAATAAGATTCAATTTATATTAGGATAAATGATGCTGTGGAATAAAGTTACCAAAAGATAGGTAAGATCTCTATCCCAAAAGTAAAACGTATTACTATAAATAAGCAGGTATTCCAGGTGTATGGAAAAGGTAAAAATTACAAAAATGGCAATTCTCTCCAAATTGATATCCATCCCAATGAAAATTCCAAAAGGCAATTTTGTAGACATTGCTAATCAGATTGTATGATTTTTATGGAAATGCCAACAATCTAGAACAGCAAAAATCTTTTTGAACAAGAACACAATTAAAGGATCCATATTATCTGATTTGAAGACTTTATCATGCTATTCATTGAAGAGAGCATATAAATTATTTAGTCTTCAAACCACACACTTCAAATTGGTGTATTATATATAAATTATGCAAGCACAAATTTTGTTTGAAAAAATGAAGTAAATAAATTTATATTTCAAAAATTATGATTAAAATTTATGCAACTCATGTTTAAAATAGCACTCTTTGAAGAGTATATATCATATGTAAAAACAGCAAGCCACTTTTATATCCTAAGGTTATATTAAGAAAGGCCTGGATGCTGATTCCGAATTACTTCATTTTTCTTGACGCTATTGTGAAAGGTGTTGTTTCCCTCTTCTCTCTATCAAAACGTTTGTTATTTGTGTACAGGAATGATTGATGTTTGAGTGTTGACTTCATATTCAGCTAATCTACTGTAGCAGGTTATTAAATCTAGAAGTCTTTAGGTAGAATTTTTGGGGTCTTCTATGTAAAGTATCATGTCATTGCAAATAATGGTAATTTAACTTCTTCCTTTCTATCTTTATTCTTTTTATTTCTTTCTCTTGTCTGCTCTGGCTAATGTTTCCAGAATTATATTGAATAGGAGTGGTGACAGTGGACATCCTTGTCTTGGTCCTCATATTAGAGGGAAAGCTTTAAGTTTTTGATGATTTAGTATGATGTTGGCTGTTGGTTTGTCATAGATGGCCTTTATCAGATTGAGATAAAGACCATCTATTCCAATTTTCTATAGGGTTGTCATCATGATTGGGTGCTGGACTTTGTCAAATGCTTTTTCTGCATCTATTGAGATGATCATGGGATTGTCTTTGGCTCTGTTGATATGGCATATTACATTTATTGACTTGCGTATGTTGAACCATCCCTGCATCCCTGCATTCCTGGGATCAATCCTACGTGGTCATGGTGTATGATCTTTTTGATGACCTTCTGCATTGTGTTTGCCAGTATCTTATTGAGGACTTTGTGTGTGTGTGTGTGTGTGTGTGTGTGTGTGTGTGTGTATTAAATTCTTTTATTGGTACATTGTAGGTATACAACACAATTACATTTCTCATTGGGAATTGTACCTTTACATAATGCATCTTGGTTCTTATTTTTTCCCCATTCCTAGCCCTCCCTTCACGCCCTCCACCCTTCCCTATTTACAAAGACTTTATTTCCATTTTTTCCATTTCTCATCATTTTTCCTTTCCCTTCTTTCCTTTCCCCTGCCCCTCCCACTACCCCTACCCCTTTGGACCTTTTCTCCCTATTTTACATTATTGATTATTCATTCTAATCATTGGTACATTTTAGGTATACAATATAATGACATTCATCATTGGAAATTTGTACCTTTATATAGTCTCTCTCGGTTCTTATTTTTCAGCCCTCCCTTCAACCCCTCCAGTCCTCCCTATTTACAAAGATTTTGTTCCTATTTTTCCATTTTCTCATATTAATGTCATTCCCTTCTATCCTTTCCCCTAGCCCTCCCACTTTATTGCATCTATGTTCATTAGAGAGATTGGTCAGTAAGTCTCTTTTTTGGTTGGATCCTTCCCTGGTTTTGGTATCAGGGTAAGGCTTGCTTAAGGAATATTGCCTCCCTTTCAATTTAATTTGAGGAATAGTAGCATTAGATCTTCTCGAAATTTCTTGTAGAATGCAGTACTGAATCCACTCAGGACTGAGTCCATCAAGGGCTTTTCTTTTTTGATAGGCTTTTAATTACATCTTCAATTTCATTATATTAGGCTATTTAGAATCTTTATATCTTCTTGATTCAGCTTTGTTAATTCATGTGTATCTAGGAATCTGTCTATTTTTTCTATGTTTTCTGTCTTATTAGAATACAGGTTCTCGAAATAGGCATTGATATTCTGGATTTTTGAAGAATCTGTTGTGATTTCACCCTTTTCATTCCTAATTGTGTGGATTTGAGTCTTTTCTTTCCTTGTTTTGATAAGGTTGGCTAATAGTTTATTAATTTTATTTAATCTTTCAAACAACCAACTCTTCAATTCATTGATTCTTTGTATTGTTTTCTTAGTGTCAATTTTATTAATTTCTGCTCTGATCTTTACAATTTCCTCCCTCATATAAGCTTTGGGCTGGATTTGCTCTTCCTTTTCTAGAAGGTTGAGGTTAAACATTGGGTTGTTTATTTCAGCTTGCTCTCTTTTTCTGATATAGGAATTCACTACTATAAATTTCCCTCTTTAATTCCCTCTTTAATTTCATCTGTGACTCATTGGTTGTTCAGGAGGGTGTTATTTAATTTCCTTGTGTTTATGAAGTTTTTGTGGTTTCTTCTTCCACTGATTTACAATTTTATTGCACTATAGTCTGATAAAATGCATGGGATAATGTCAATTCCTTTGCATTTACTTAAGCATGTTTTATGAGCTAGCGCGTGATCTATTTTGGAGAACATCTTCTGTGCAGCTGAGAATGTATATTTTGATTTGTGGAGGTAGAACAACACTCTATAGATATTTATTAAGTCCATTTGTTTAGAAGTTTGGTTCAGTTCTGATATTTCATTGTTGATTGTTTGTCTATTTGATCTGTCTATTTATGATAGTGGGGTATTGAGTCCCCCCATTACAATTGGGCAACAAAAGCAAAGCAGGGGGCATCACAATCCCTGACTTGAAATTATACTGCAAGGCTACCATGATAAAAATAGCATAGCACTGGCTAAAATAAAGACCCAAGGGTCAATGGAACAGATTAGAAGATGGCAGAAACAACTCCAAACATACTCATCCACCTTATATTTGACAAAATGGGCATCTGAAATGAATAGACACTTTCCTGGTAAAGAAGTAGAAATGTCAAATAAATATATGAAAAAATGTTCAACATCACTGGGTC